TAAGGGAGCATATACAACCTTCCCTGATGACTCGCTATCATTAATTCTCCTTCGTCTTCCACCCTGTCCCTCAAATCTATGCTACACTCAGGTACAGAAATCATCCCCCTGAAAATGTAATTTTAATCGCTGTTTTGATGTCATTCCCATATGTAACTTCCAATTACCTCTCATCACAGATTAAAAATATCTAATCCATGGTCATTTTGTTTCCTAGGCCTGCTCACATTTACTATTCCCACCTCAGCTATACCCTAATCCTTCCTCCATATATCAAGCAAAAAACTAGCTTCTTAATCCCTTATCAGTTCTGCTCACTCCTATTTGCAGCTTTCATCCAAGCTGTCATCCTAGCCTCAAACGTCTTCCCCTTCTCCTTCTAATGAATCATACCTCTCTCCTTGATGCTCACCTATTCCCTAAAGATTCTCAGGCAACACCATCATCTGTATTATTCCAAACTCCAACATTTACCTAGCCCAGTTTCCCAAAGGTAGTTACTATGTTAGAGTCAGAATCCAGCCCCGTTCACTACTTGATACTTACCAACTGAAATTCTCTGGCCGGCTCACAAATTACTGTGCAGCCTGAGTCCCCCACCCCAAGCCATCCAAACCCATCTACACCTACACTAAAAGAAACCACTTCTCAGACAGGATCTATGGCTTCTCCACTCCTTCCCGGCCTGCACTCATTCGCACCTTTCGTTTGCCCTTCGGCTCCACTTAAGCTGGGTGGCACACACCAATCTCTAGAAGCAAAAGCTTTGCTACTAAAAGCGGAAAACCCTACTGGACCACAGGGTGAGGGAAACGTGGAAGAATCAACTCGTCAAATGTCTCTTGCTGCCACAGTGTCATCTTTGAATTTCCTCTGTGCTGGTCCATTCTTAGAGCCACGTCCCACGTGACTAGTCTGGGAAGACAGGCCCTGCGAAGGCCCAGGAAGGACCATCAGAGCTAGGCCTTATAGAAAGAAAAATGAGGAAATACTTGTTTTCCTTGGGTTTGCTCCATGTCACTGAAGTAGTAAGACCTCAAGAGCTGAAATTAGGGGAAAGGTACCTTCAGAAGCTTTCTCTTAGGCCAGTCCTCAACCCAGAAAAACCAAAGTCTTCAAGGTACAGCTCAAGTTCAAAGTTCCCAGTGAAGCCTCCTGAAAGCATCCCAGTCCACCTTGATCCTTCCTTTCTCTTAACAAGTTTCCTGGAGCACGTGTGTCAGCTTAATCGAGAAAGATGAGGGTGCAGAAGAGGGTGTAGGGTGCCACTTCAGGACCAGATACTCAGTAAAAAGGCCATCTCTGTGCCAGGCAGATTTATAACGTAAGGTGGTAACAGAACCATTTAGTCTAAAGGAGAAGTACAGGTGCTTTGAAATACTTAACAGGAAACTAGGACTTCTCTAGGCAGTCAAACAAGGCTCTTCGCAGGAACTAACACCCGGCCTGAGGCTGAGTACAACAGAAAGCCTTTAGGCCACAGCCCAGTTTTGTTTGTTTTTTGGGGCAGTAGTGGGTTTCGGTGGGTTTTTCAGCCTTTATCCTAAGAGCAAGGGGAAGCCATCGAAGACTTAAGCAGGGAAACGACCAATCAGACTGAATTGTTAAAATCACTCGGGTTATCGTGTGGAGAATGTCAGTCGGTGCACGTGGGCAGGGATTCAGGCAAAACATGATGGTGGCTGGGGCTCAGATGTGGCAGTGCAGACGGAGAAGCCCAATGGACTCAGGGGGCATCTACGAGGTAAATGCACAGGACTCACAGGTGGACAGGTGGGGAGAGCGACAAAGAAGAGGGAGGATACCAAGGAGGACTCCTAGGTCTGTAGCTGCGGGTGATGCTATCCACTGATGGGACTCTGAGGCGGGCCACTCAGGGGGGTTGGCGGGGGAGGAACAGATATGAGTCAGACATGAGAAAGTAAACATTAGCATGCTCTGAGACAGTGAAAATGTGTCCTGTCGTTTGTCAGGCTGGAAAGCAGACATAGACAGAGCCTCTAAAAAGGGAACAGGAAACAATATTTCTCCCAAAGACATAGGGCAGCTGTAAAATGTCATAATGACCCCTTCTGTGAGTGACTGCTGACTTCTTACTCGCTGAGAAAATGCATTCTCTAAAATCTTAGACTAACAGGAAGTTTGCTGTCTGAAATTATATCTGTAAGAAAGAAACATCCCACTCTTGCCTGGAGAATCTGAGACTTTGACACAGAGAAACAGCCTTGATTTTCAACTAGGTGCAGAGCTTCAAATACAGGATTTCCAGACACAAATGTTCCAGGTCCATCTGAACTTTGCAGTTTTCAAGGAAATGGGTCCTTGGTCCCCTCCAGAGTCAGGCCTGATGTTGACCCCTATATACACAGCTCTGCTTTGCTTTAAGCCCATCAAAATACTGCTTCCTTTACATTTCATCTAAACTCCCCCTTCCCCCAAGTCCATCATAACTCTTTTCTTTGTCTAGTGAGACACCCCACAGTCCTCTGCTGCGTGGTCTCCCTCACTGCAGTGAGCCAATAAACGTTTGTCAGATAACAGGTTTGTTCCTGATAAGCCGGTCTTAGGCTGATCAGGACAGACGTTTAGAATTTGAAATAACTGTGAACAAGCAAGAAATGCCAAGCAGGAGTTAGATACAGGGATCCTGAGCTTGGACAAGAGGTCTGGGCTAGAGATAGATCTAGGAAGCCACTGGCATGAAGGTGGTAATTGAAGCTACATGTATACCTCAGATTGCTTCAAGAGAGGACATGGGGTGAAGAGGGGGCGAGGCCTGAGCTGCAAGCAACCCCACTATTTGAAGGCTGGTGAATAGAGAGGTGAATCAGTAAAGGAGACTGAGAAGGAATGGCCAGCCAGATCTGCGGGAAGAGGTCACTGCATGGCCCAGGGAAGGTCGGAGCTGCCAGGCTGGACCTCCCGAATTCTGGCTTTGATCAGGTCACCAACAGATTGTTTGTGGCCCTCACTTTTGTAAGCAACACAGTCTGATCTTGGCAGAGGGACTGACCTCCAAGAGACTGACTGATGCTAAGCAGCTCATTGTGCTGTGATACGGTCATTGTTTTTGATTAGCTAACTTCACTGGACGATGGGAAGGAAGACAGAAGAACTGATGTGTTTCAGCTGTGGTGTTGGCAAAGCATACTGAATACACCGTGGACTGCCAGAATAATCAACAAATCAGTCTTAGACGAAATACAAACAGAATGCTCCTTTGAAGCAAGAATGGTGAGACTTTGACTTGCTTACTTTAAACACGTTATCAGGAAAGATCGATCACTAGAGAAGGATATCATGTTTGGTAAAGCTGACGGCCAATGAAATCTTCAATAAGGTGGAATGCCACAATAGTTTCAACAGCAGACTCAAACACAGCAACGATCATGAGGACTGCACACAACCAGACAATGTTTCGTTCTGTTGTACACAGGTTCCCACGAGCCAGAGTTGACGCAACAGCAACTAACAACAAGAAAGTCCTGAGACCCTGGTGTATTTTCCAGAATGCCAGTTTATTTGTTTACAGTGAGAAATACAACCAACCAGCAGGCTGACTTGTTCATGCTCAGTGGTCAGCACTTTCCTTCCCTGAGGGCAAACGCATGTGGAACGACAAAGTACTCTCAGAAGGTGGCTGGATGAGTGTGGAATTACAACTAGGGACCTAAGAAGCCCTGGAGCTACATGGGAACCAACGACCGGAGCACATCAGCTGAGGTCCCAAAGAGAACCAGAAATCAACCCAGATGTAAAGAGATCTTAATGAAAGGACTACAGAGGTGAGAACGGGGCAAAGAACCCACAAGGGATGGTGAGGCACCCAGGGATAAGCAACAGCTGAAGGAATGAAGGGAGAAAAGTTTCACTGGAGCCCAAGAGAGAAGGGACTGTGGAGGCAGCCACGAGGTAGGAGACACAGCTGTGGAGGGTTGCAGCTGCCACCAGAGAAGAGCAGCACAGCAGGAAAGGAGCAGGAGGAAATACCCCAACCTCTCTCCTCCCACTGATGCCTCCACTGTGAGCCCAAGTGGCTGGCAGCCAGCCAACCAACACGGAAACCAGAGGCATAGTCTGCAGGGGCCTGCCTCCCAGAGCACATCACGGGGCACAGAAGGGGAGTCTGGCTCTCTGGACTTCAAAGAGAACATGAACAGGCCATGGTGCTGCAGTGACAGTGAGCATTTCTCTTCTAAGTGGCTGTGTTTGCCCCATTGCCGAGGGGTATTTGCATAAACCAGAAATCTGTATTCTTGAGTCAGGGTATCTTCTTGTCTGGACTAGTGCTAAACCACTAACTGGGCCCCTAAATGCACATTTTCTAGAGGCCACACAGCCATGGCTAACAGTCAGATGCAGGGCGGTGAATTAGCCTTCATCACTGAAGGGTGATTAATTCAGTGCAATTAGGCAAGTGCTGAATCAGTCCTGGAGTATCTCCAGGAACTTGAATTGGCTCCTAGGCTGATATCTGACATAATGGCTTAGCTCAAATTGCAAACGTCTGAATGGACAAGTCCTACCTAGCCTGACCTTAAATCAGGGCTAGAGATGGACCCATCCATCAACCTAGACACAAGTGAAGACATGCCCAGCTGTCTCTACAGACATTCAACTCCAAGAAAGGTTTCTATATGGCAAGACCTTTAACTTACACAAGTAAAGGTTAGATTTTTAGGGTAGAGCTATTCAATTATCGAAAGTATAAAATTCTTCTGCCAAGTAACAGAGGTGAAGAAAAAGAGAAGCTGGCAAAAGATACTCCAGGAAGCTGGGAACCCTTCCTCCAAAACCAACTCATGTACATCTAAGTTACTCATTTAAGGGCACCTCCCTTTTTTCTGTATTATCTGACTTACACATAATTACACAGCCTATAATAGTATGTTAAAATCTGTTTACAATTATTTTATAATTATTTATGTAAAATGGTACTATAGCTGCTGGAACCAATTGATGCCACCACCAATGGCTGCTAAAAATGGAGTAAGACTCACTTTCTTCTACAATCTTTAACTTCTGGAAGCTTTCCAGTACCTCCCCATTTAGTATTCTGGGTAAGAAGTCCCGTATTTGCATCACTTCAGTTGTCAGCCGTTCCAGGTCCTTCTTTCTGACTTTAACAAATTCTTCCTTTGTTCCCACGTGCTAAAAGAACAAGCAGACCTTAAGATTATTTTCTCTTCATATAACTAAAATCAGTCACCCAAATCAACTTGCTTCCTTTTAATTGTTCACAATTGTCTCGAAAGAACGTCTTTTCTAACGTGTCCTTTGCTACATATGTATACTGCGTTTTGAGAGCTGAAGCCCAAACCTTCAAGATGGGAGCCAGAAATGGGGGGAAAAGTAGTGCACGCAAGAGCCCTAGTCCTGAAAGCCAAAGGAAACGCCACAACTTTTTCTTAGCACTTCAGAACCCAGTTAATCAGAACAAAGGAAATCACCTTTACTGGGTTCCTCCTAGGGGCACCAAGCCCTTTGCTGGTCATCTCATTTAACATTCACCACAACCTGTCTAGGTTGTCCAGCAGGAAACTGAGGCACAGAGGGCACAGGTAGCAATGTAGCAAGTCAACACGCTTCGTTTTAATTGCTCACAATCTTTTCCAAAGAACATCTTCTCTAATGCGTCCTTACTAAGGGGCGGAGCCAAGGTTTGATTCCTCTTTGGAGCCAAAGTCCAAGCACTTTGTCCTCACCACGTGCAATGGAAGCACCCCACGAAGACCGGATGCTCTCTAAACCTTACACTAAACTCTGAAACAAGAGACCAGGGCCTTCAGATGAGAACTGGGCTTCCAGGTGGCACAAAGAGAATACTCATTCGGTTCACTCTCCCAACTCCATCTTCACTTTATTCAACCTCTCGCCCCCAATCTCCTGGTTCCCACCCCCTACCCCCCACCAAGACTTGCACTCGTGTTCGTCTGGGAGGCGGAGACCTCCAGGGCCTCACTGGACAGTCACGGCACGCCCGCGTCCCCCCGTCCCCCCGGTCGATCCGTGCCGTCTGTGGAGACGTCTAGCTGGAGAAGTCGCCAGACCTCCACGACCACGCGACGACGAGTCGTTTCTGAGGTCGGGGAGGCTGTGCTATGGTACATGGGAGCACACGGCGACAGGTGGGACGCGCGGAGCCCGAGTCCATCACTGACCCGGCAGGCCTCCTCAGGGTTGGTAGCTTCGCCCATTGTAGCTCCCGCTCGCTCCTGCGCCTGCGCGGCGCCCTCTGCCTCCTTGCGCTGGAAAGCGCGGGAACGTGCTCGGCGGAGGGTCAGGTACGGACAGCCGCGAGGCTCAAACGTGGTCACATTTGCGGAGCACGGCTCGGCCCAAGGCCCAAGAGGTGGCCTCAGTGAGAACCCGCTTCGACTGTTTCCGCCTCAACCGAGGTTTTAATCTCGAGAACTGCAAAGCAGAAGTGAGACGCAGGTGTAAATGTCAAGTAACAGAAATCCAATCGCTAGCGAGGAATGCTGGGCAAAGGGCGGCTGCGTTCAAACGGGAACCGTGTTTCTAGAAAACTACCCGCGCTGCAAACTGCCTGCGTTCCTGCTTTCTAAACTCTTCTATATTTAGGGTTTAATCTTTCTGACAATTGGACTCTTCCAGAAGTCTACCCATGACAAAACCAAAAAAAAAAAAAAAATTTTAAAAACCAAACCCGTTGCATGGATTCCGAGTCATAGTGACCCTACAGGGCAGAGTAGAACGGCCCCATAGGGGCTCCAAGGAGCAGCTAGTAGATTCAAACTGCCGACCTTTTGGTTAGCAGCCGAGCTCTTAACCACTACGCCACCCTAATTAAAAAAAAATAAAATAAAACCTGTTGCCTTCGAGTCCGACTCATAGCGACCTTTTGGCTTACAGCCATAGCTTTTAACCGCTGTGCCACCAGGAGTCCGTTACCTAGAGAAATTATTTCAGCCAAATAAGTGAAATAACTAAGATGATCATAAATTTTGAGGTCACCTAGTCCATTAACTTGCCCTATACTGAATTCACAAAATATGGTTTTAAAATGTACCCAAAGTTATAACACAACTAAGATGCATTCCCTCCTTCTCTGATGTTAGCAAGAAGCCAACATTTTTCATAAATCGTGTAAATGTGTGGATGTTTTCCAGGCCTGACGCGAGCTGCGATAAAGAACGAATCCGTTTGCTCAAGGAAACCCCTACACTTGCGAGAACAGCGCAGTTTCTGCCCGGGGAATCAAAGAGCCGCCCCTCCGGGGATGTTTGGCCGAATATCCCGTTAAATCCCCAGGTGCGGCGCATCTTTGCCAATCTCAACTCTACCTAGTATGGCCCGAGGAGTTCAACACAATTAAAAACTCGGCTCCACGGTGTCGTGTAGATCCTGGGGAGCTGCTGATCTGGCGGGGTTTTTGTTAAGTGGGCTTAAAGATTCTAGACCACTTAAAAATAGCCATCCGGCTCTGCCTAGCCAAGACCAACCCTGGCTAACCACGCCGTCAACAGTCCTGAGTGCGTTTTGAGTTTTGGCAACCAAAGACCGCGAAGACGTAAAGGCGCAAAAGGATGACCCAATCCCAGCTGAGCGACTCGGCGCCGCAGCCAGGGCTTCCGCCGCACTGGCTCGCTACCACAACGCGCTGCGAGTCCGCGGCCACGCCTTTGTGACATCATCAACCTGCGCACCGGCCGCACACGCCGCGAGCCGGCCGCCAGCCCGGGCCGCTTCCGCCTTCTGCGCAGTCGCGTTCCGGGTGGCACCGCGGTGGCTGCGGCGGGTGGCGTAGGGGACCGTCTCTGAGCGGCCGGGGATGCTCCAGCAGGCGCGATGGCCCCTGCCATGCAGCCGGCCGAGATCCAGTTTGCCCAGCGGCTGGCGTCCAACGAGAAGGGGATCCGGGACCGGGCGGTGAAGAAGTTGCGCCAGTACATCAGCGTGAAGACCCAGAGGGAGACAGGTGGGCGCCGGCGGTCAGCGCGCCGCGCACATGGCGGGCCGGAGCTGGCTCCGGCGGCCGGGAGGCGCGGGGCCTCCCGCTGGGCGAGGCGCAGCCCTTGGGGAAAGGCTCGGGGGTGGTGTTGGCAGGCACGCGGGCAAGGGAGAGGGAACGGTACTTCGATTTCAGTTATGTGCAATGATTCGTTACATCCGTCGCGTGCTTCGGTGTCCGGCACTGTGGTGGCCGTTTACTTACTGTGTGTAGTCCCATTTTACAGTTGAGGAAACTGGGGCGGAGAAGGGTTAAGTAACTTTCTGAAAGCCACACTCAGTAAGCGCGGAAGCGAAGATGAGACCCAGATCTGATTACGGAGCCTGCACTTGGAATCACTAAACTCGGCCAGGTTTATTCTGCTGTTCCCTTCATTGATTCTTGCCTTCGTTTGACCAACACGTTTAGGGGCGGAAGGTACAGAAGAGGAGACAGACAATCCCTATCTGCAAAGAATTTCTAATAGGAAGCTAGAGGGGAAAAAAACAAATAGAACTTGGTATAAGAAGGAAACGGAAATCAGGTAATGTGATAGAAAAAAGGGAGGGAGGGAGCTCCTCTGCACAGGCTGTTCCAGGAAGGCGCCTGAGGCGTGATGTTCTGAGACCTGAAAAAAGACAGGAAGCCAGCCATGCAGAGAGGCAGGGAAGACCTGAGCCTGCCCTTAACGCCACTGCCTACGAACAGTGGATCAGTCGGTGGAAAGAAGAGTAAGTAAGGAGGGTGAAGGTGTTATAGGATGAAGTTGGAAATGGTAGCAGTGGCCATATCACACCGGGCTTTGTAGTTTGGATTTTAATTGCACGGGGTGCCATTGGAGGATTTCATTTACCTGATTACGAAGTATGCTCCTGTAAACCCTGGAGTGGAAACTACAATGTGCAGTAGAGATTTTATGTTGTACGAAAATAAAGTTTCCCATTTACTGCTGCTAGTAATGCTTTTAGGATCTGCTTGAAAGAAATAGGTAGTATCTGTTCCTTCACTGACATGCTTAGTTTCTTTTCTTTTCTTTTGAAGAGAAATAAGATGAACCAGAAAAAAAGTAGAATTTTATGGAAGGTGTGGTAGATAGAAAGGGGAGTGAAGACTGAAACTCCTGACTTCAATTCCCTTAGGGTGCTCGCTGAGAGATTTCACTAATCTTGTGGTTTCAGGTATCCCATATACACTGGTGGTTCCTGCATCCTGAATTTTCCTCAATCCAGACCTTTTCCTAATTTGAGCTGAGACAGGACTTGCATGCCTGGCACCTGGATGTCTCTCAGGCTCAGAATGCTCAAAACTGACTCATTTTTCTTTCCCCAAAACCTGTTCTCTTCTGCCGCTTCTCCTCCTCCGCCTTCTGTGCTATCTTATTTTAGTGACGGGTTCCCACCATCCTCTCATACTCCGGAGCTGGACACATGGTGTTATCCTGGACTGCTCTCTCTGCCTCACCCACCCCCAGTCTCACCCCACATCCAGTATCTCTTGGTTCTACTTATTTCTCCTCCTGAATTCCTCCACCCTTCATCATAAACCAAAAGAAACCCATTGCCATCAAGTCAATTCTGACTCAGCGACCCTGTAGGACTAACTAGAACTGGCCCATAAGGTTTCCAAAGCTGCAAATCTTTATGGAAGCAGACTGCCACATCTTTCTCTCACAGAGTGAATGGTGGGTTCAAACCGCTAACCTGGTTAGCAGTCGAGTGTTTAACCACTGCACCACCAGGACTGCCTTCCCTGAACCATAGACTCTCTTTATCTTATCAGGGCTAACATACCTGCTTATTTCTTAACTGATCTCTTTATCTCCATTTGTGTAACCTTTGAACCTGTCCTGCACAAACCAGCCCATATGGCAGTCTTCCTAAAACAAATCTGATCACATCATCTTTCTTGAAACTCAGAGTGTCCCCTCAGCTCCCGCCTAACTGCTTCCTGCTCCGTCAACAACACACCTCCACTCTTGCTTCTCCTGTTTGTTCAGCAGAGAATCTCACCCCCTTTCTGCTCCCAGCGTTCAGTTCAGTATCACTCTTCCCAAAGCCTCCCCTCATCAGCGCACCACACTCCTTATGATTCTGAATTCTGCAGTGTGCCTCTCTCGTAGCACTTAGCTGTACTGCTTCTTAATTAGCTGTTAATGTGTCATTCCTTCCCCCACAAAATGCTGTAAGCATCCCGCTGTTTTCTCAGCTGGAAGTCAGAGCAAGTCCAGCTGTAGAAGGGCCTGACCGTGCACAAGAGCAGCGTGTGGGGCTAAGGAATGGGTCTGAGTAGTTGGCCAGAAACAACCTGTTGCTCAGATCCCTTTCGTGACGAGGCCCAGGGTCTGCCAGATGCTAAAGTGATGCAGGGGCACGAGGCCGGTTGGATTGGACCCACTGCCTAGTGTCCAGCCAAGTAGGTGCCCATCCCGCCTAGAATTGCATGTGTTACTTGCTGTTCACCTCCATATCCGCAGTAGATATGCTGGCCTTCAGAGAATAACTCTGCCTAGTGAATGTCATGGTCACAGTGATAATGAGACAGGAGCACAAAGGTCTCTGCCCCAGCTACCAGTTGCTACTGAGTCCATTCCAACTCATGGCGACCCCATGTGTTTCAGAGTAGAACTGCACTCTCCAGGGTTTTCAATGGCTGTAGCTGCCATTACAATAGAAACACAAGTTTGGAAGTGGATTGACCTGGCATTTGTATCTTCTTGGCAAACTCAGTTCTTGTGTGTTGTTCTGGGTGTGATAAAGGAAATCTGAAGTTTCACTCTTGGTAATCACGTAGCTGTCCATCCGTAGGAAACCCTGGTGGCGTAGTGGTTGAGTGCTACCGCTGCTAACCGAAAGGTCGGCAGTTCGAGCCTACTAGGCACTCCTTGGAAACTCTGAGGCAGTTCTCTTCTGTCCTACAGGGTCGCTATGAGTCGGAATCGACTCAACGGCAGTGGGTGGGTCCATCAGCAGGATTCTTTATTCAGCTTCAAGCAACTGATGTTGCTCTGGTGCTTTCACTATTCATGTTGAGCATTCAGTCGTGGGATGATCACTGTCCTTGATTTAAGGTCCTCTTGCCCAGACCTGTTCATTCATATATTGGGCAAACATTTATGGGGCATCTACTGTGTGCTGTTATGTCCAGTCTTCTCGGTATTGAGGATACAGCTGTGAACAAACAGACGGAAATCCCTGCTTGTTCTATCGATTCTGCAACTTTTTTTCCCTCTCTCTCTTTTTTTTTTTTTTTACATTTAACATCTCTTAAAATCGGACATGTCTCACCGCCGGCCTTGTGATGGTTTTACTTGCATCATTGCTTTCTTTTTGGTGGCACACAGGGTGACAGTGCATCCTAAAATGGATGGTGTCCTGAACTCAGTGGAGCTGATGGAGGAATAAGTGTTTCTCATGCAGATAGGGTTAGGATTATCAATGGGCTGGTACACAGGAATGGTGGCTGTCACGACAGTAGGGTGGGCTAGAGTATCAAACATCACCCCCATGATCTGGGGACCATGCTTTCAGGAGACATCTAGGTCAATTGGCATAATAAAGTTTATTAAGAAAATGTTCTGCATCCTGCTTTGGTAAGTGGCATCTGGGGTCTTAAGCTTGCATGTGTCCATCTAAGATGCATCAATTGGTCCCAACCACCTGGAGTAAAGGAGAATGAAGAACACCAAAGACACAAGGAAAGTAGTAGCCCAAGAGACAGAAAGGGCCACATAAACCAGAGACTGCATCAGCCTGAGACCAGAAGAACTAGATGGTGCCCGGTTGCCACCAATGACCCTCCTGACAGGGAACACAGCAGAGAGTCCCTGATGGAGCAGCAGAAAGGTGGGGTGCAGAACTCAAATTCTAGTAAAAAGACCAGACTTAATGGTCTGACTGAGACTGGAGGAACCCTGGAAAGCATGGCCCCTGGATTCTCTGTCAGCCCAGAGCCAAAACAATTTCTGAGGCCAACTCTTCAGACAAAGATTCGACTAGACTGTGGGACATAAAATGATACTCGGGAAGAGTGTGCTTCTTAGCTCAAGTAGATACATGGGACTAAACGGGCAGCTTCTGTCTAGAGGTGAGATGAGAAGGCCAAGAGGGTCAGGAGCTGGTTGAACGGACACGGGAAATCGGGTGGAAAGGAGGAGTGCGCTGTCACAGTACGGGGAAAGCAAGTAGGGTCACACACAATGTATGTATAAGTTTTTTATGAGAGAATAACTTGAAATGTGAACTTCCACTTAAACTACAACAATAAAAAAAAAATCACCTTCCTTTGAAATGGCTTCTGTGCTCATTTCACGATGAGACTATTGGGTTTTCTCATTTCAAAGCTTTCTGTTGTTTACTCCGCCCACGTCTCATTTTCACATTCACGTCATTCATTTTGAAATAACTAAATCCGTATCGTCAGAAACGTAGCGTTCTGGCCCCGAGAAGAAAAGGCAGGCTAAAGGGCCCCTGGCATGAGACCACTCCAGGTGCTCCCCTTTTCTGAGTTCTGAAAGGTATTAAATAATGAGCATTTCTCTGTTTTGTTTTAAATGCTTCAAAAATTGGCACCTTTTTTTTTTTTACCAACTAAATTCCTGGTTGAAAACAAGTGATTATTACACAGGCATTAAAAGCAGATGTTTTCAAAGAAAAAAGCTTCACTAGAACGCAGATAGAGAAACTGAGACAATCATTATACTAACATCCACCAAGTGAACAGTGCTTTTACTCTTACAAAGTGCATCTCACACGTGCTCTTATTTACCCTGGCCACGGCCGTTACATGTATTGCAGTAGGAAACGGAGGCCCCAGGTTCATTGTCAGTTTTTTAAGACTGTACAGCTAGGGGTCAAACACGGGCTTATTTCGCGGTACTTTGCTGCCTCCCATAGAGATGAGACAGCTGGAATATGTGTTTGCAGCTAAATCTCTTTCCTGCGTGCTGTCTAGGGACTAGGGTCACCCTGTCACTTTGTCCAAATCTAGTTTCCCCTGATCAAAGTCTCAGTGTAGCACACACATTATACCTTTGCCTGTACGGTTCATGGGTGATCCAGAGACAGTGGGTATGTGTCGCCACTTACAGTCGGTTTCATGTATCGGTGCACTTACAAGAGCCATCTGCAAATAAATATACACTGTACTTTTTTTTTTTTTTTTTTAAGGAGCCCTGGTGGCCCAGTGGTTAAAGTGCTCGGCTGCTAACCGAAAGGTCAGCATTTCAACCCCACCAGCCACTCCGTGGGAGAAAGATGTGGCAGTCTGCTTCCATAAAGATTATACCGTTGGAAACCCTACGGAGCAGTTCTACTCTGTCCTGTAAGGTCACTATGAGTTGGAATAGAATCAACGACATGCAACAACAGTGTACTGTTTTTAAGTGAAAAAGGCCAGGATGCACAGTAATAGAATACAATGCCATTTAGGTGACACACACACACACAAATATGCATTTCGGGCATCCCTCACATCACGTCAGCGTGTATAAATGCATAGAAAAGGGTCTAGAAAGATCCACATCCCTCAGACAACAGTGGTTCTTCTGGGGAGGGGACTGAGATTCAGGAGGCAGTGAACAAGCCAAATTCTTGATTGTACGTATATATTTTTGTATATATATATTTGTATATATCTATATACAGTTTTTTTTTAATTGATAGTACAAATTTTTTTTGGTTAGAACTCTTTCAGTTACAACTCGTGAGACTCTCCAAGCCATACTAGTTTTGATGGGAACAGCTGAGGCATGGCTTCGTGCAGAAGCTCAGCCGATGAGCCAGAACCCAGTTTTTCTCCATCCTCATGCAGGCCCACCCTCAAGTGGCCAGGTGGCTTGGCAAAGCTCTGCACTTCATCTTCCCTTCCAGTCTACTGAGAGCTGAGACTCTGTGCCCTTCATCTTCCTTTCCAGTCTGGTGAGAGCTGAGACTCTGTGCCCTTCATCTTCCCTTCCAGTCTAGTGAGAGAGCTGAGGCTCTCAAAAGTCTGAGCAAAACCATCTTCATCCATGGGAGGGATCATGGGTCCATTCCTGAACCAATCCCGCTGCCATGGATAGGCCTCCCCTCCACCTGAGGTGAGCTTGCCCAGACCACTGTCTCCCCCACCCCCCCGACACAGAATACCCGACAGGGGTGACAGTACATGCAGCAGCTCAGCCAACACCACAAGTGCCCAGAACTCAAGCCTCATGCAGTATAAATCCTCTGTCGCTTCTGAGTTCATCGCTGTTTATGCCCTTCTAGTTTCCTTTATGGGGAGCCTTTTAAAATGAAAAGAGCAGGGCCTGTGGCCCCACTGTGGTAATTTCATACTGTCTTTTTTTACCTTTTTATTGAAACTTGAAATTATAAAAAGTACACTCATGACTCGGCTTTAGCGTTTATCAGTATTGGGCCCATTTTTCTAGTTTCTAATCTGCGTCTTCCCCCTTTCCACTGGCTTATTCTGAGCAAATCCCACCCACTCACTTCTTCACTTGCTTCACTGGGTAGCTCTGAAAGATAAGGACTTTTTTTTTTTTTTAACATTACATACCACTATCACACTTTTTAAGAAATTCCTTGAAGTCATGAAATACTCAATTTGTTGCGTTTTCCCAGTTGTCTCATAAATGTTAACAATAAATCAGAAGCCAAACAAGACCCAGCATCACCTTTGGATACTGTCTCCTGAGACTCTCAGACTCATCAGTTCCTATCGCCTTTTTTTTTTTTGCCCTGTGCAGCGTATTTGTTGGAGGGTCTGGGTTGTCTGTCCTGCAGAATCCTCCCCCATTTAGGGCCTGTGGATTGCATCCCTAGTCTCATTTAGCGTGTTCCTCTGCCACCTGTGTCTCCTGTAAACTGATACTGATCGACTTGCTGTGATTGGCTGGCTCTGCTGCTCAGGAGGGGCTTTGCCAGTCGCCTGGTTGCCTTGCCAAGGCTTTTGCCAGCAACTCAAGGGGCCGATTCTTCACACCCCCTTCAACTGGCTGAACGCCCGCATCTCTTGTAGGACGTGCTGTTTTATTTCACAAGACCAATGAAAATGTTGGTACGTGGGTGAGATGCTAGTTTAAGCAGGGAGGGCCACTTGAAGGGGAACTAACTTTATAAATGACCGGTTTGTGCGTTAATTTTTTACTGTTGCAATGGTGTCTGCATCCTGACATGGCTGAGATAATGAGGACACTGCCACCAGCCTCCTGCCCCAGGGCTGGTAAAGCTGTTGTCATTCTCAGGTGTCCGCTTTGCATACTTCCAGATTAAAAAAAAAAGCGCTTGCAGAGGGGAGAGAATCGAAATGTATGTGGTATTATTTTTACTGCTTACGTGGCAATTCTAAACTTGCGGAAGGAAATACGTAGACTTTAAAACTAGGTGTTGTGGTGTTTTGTTCCCTAGGAGGCTTCAGCCAAGAAGAACTTTTGAAAATCTGGAAAGGACTCTTTTATTGCATGTGGGTGCAAGATGAACCCCTCCTACAGGTAATATGCAATTCTCTTTGTCAAGTGACTGCACTTTTGGCGTGGATGGATGAAAGAGATTCGATCCTTTTGTAACGCTGTCAGTCCCCTCATCTGTTGTTGGGTACTGCCGAGTCCACTTCATCTTATAGCGACCCTGGAGGGCAGAGTAGAACTGCCCCATAGTGTTTCCTAGGCTGTAATGTTCACGGAAGCAGATCGCCAGGTTCTTTCTCCCACGGAGCGGCTGGTAGGTTCAAACCGCCAGCCTGTGGGTTAGCAGCCAAGTGCTTAACCACTGCACTCCCAGGGCCCCTTCAGTCCCCTAACGTACCTAAGCAAGTAGGTGACTGATCTTCTCACCTCTTGTCCGTATCGAAAGGAAAGGAGCAGTGTCAGAGTGTTGAGGTTAATTATCTCTTCAGGGAGTGGAAGATATGCATAAAGTATAGATTCGTTATTTCTCCATCCCAATTTTATAGCCCCCATGGTGGGTGTTTCTGTTACTTATTTTGAAGTTTCTGTTTCATCTTCATTTAAGTTTATTGTTTGTGGTCAAAAATAGCACAGAAGAGTGCTGGTCTAAGATCCTGGGACGGGGAGGCCAGGGCTCCAGCCTCACCACCTCTGCCACAGCTTAACCAGGTAACCAGGGGCAAGGCAGCCACCTTGCTGGCTTCTTTGTAAAGGGAGCAGCCAGGCCCTCGCAGCCAATGCTGCTTCTGACTCAGCTCTGTGGAGACCTGACGTATGGACTAAAATGTGTGTGTGCGCTGTGCCCCGTTTCCTGAGCCTGCCGAGCCCACCACCTCAACCGTGGAAGAAAGTGCTTTTCATGGTGTTAAGACAGCTTGATTTGGCTGCATGCAAGCTGACCTGCCTTTGTGGAAGTAGAGGGTCGGCCTGGGGGACACCACGTGAACACTTGTGGTGCGTAAGAGTTCATGGGGAGATTCCGCTTTTCTGATGCACAGCCTTGGCACCCCCAAGCCATGCAGTCCCATGGCTGTGTTTATTGCTTCTGCTCCACTAAACATATTTTGAGTAGGACGGCAGGGCAAAATATTTTTAAATTACATTCGAAAGTAACAAACTGACAGCTTTAGTGGAGGAAGGAAATAGATGAAGGGAACATCATTTTGAAGTCTGGGGAGTTCCTATAAAATGGGTAAGGGAAATTTCAGGCTAGGTGAAATGCCGGTACTACCTCTGAGGGTCCTTCTTTTCTGATGTAACCTCACAACGAGAGTTCTTCTATTGGACTCTCCCCACAGCAGAACTCAAGCCCCGAATTCTCCCCGCAGGTGAGTCCTGCCGTCTCAGCAGGCCGGGTTTTTCCTATTACAGCCTTGCGCAGGACAGAGCACCTCGAAAGACCCTGTAACCTCTTCTTCCCAGCTGCCCTAGCAGTCCCGTCTAGCGCTGGACAGGCCGTGGGTTTAGTCTTGTGGGACGAGAATCCCCAGTGTCCAGCCACTGTCGAGTCAGCCTTTTGTCTTCTGGGGCTCAGGTTATTTGGGGGATTGGATTAGAATCTCAATTTAAGTGCTAGTGTATTTTAAAGCAAGGAGCATTTGAACTGAGAGCTAGAGATGCTTTTTTAACATGCAGCTTGAAGAACTCTCAGAGGCGAATGGAGTTGACAGAGTAGTTCGTCGACATTGGGCGTTTCACATTTAATTAGTTCACACCCCCATTACTCATTTCTTAATGGAAGTGACATGGAAAAAGGAGGGACAGGTTTCCCGCCAGCAGGTGCAAGAGGACGCAGGCCACGGCGCTGTCATCTCAGCATTGCACCTAAGTAATCCCAGTGTTTTCCCCCACCCACCCCTGCAGGAGGAGCTAGCAAACACGATATCCCAGCTCGTCCATGTTGTTAACAACTCAGAGGCGCGTAAGTCCTGGCTTTTTCGTGGCTTTCAAAACTTCCTTGGTCATCAGATTTGGTAACTTCCTAGGAAACCTGCTCAGTACTGTGTCTCTCCCACCCACCAAGTGGCAGTCTTCCAGTGTGCTAACGTAATGTGAGGAACCTAGCGTTTGACAGTGTGTAGACAGACGGCAAGCGACAAGCTGTTTCCTGTTACAAAGCAGGATAAACTCCAATGTGGACTTGGCACAAGGGCGGAGGAGTGTCTTGTGAAGTCTCATACTTGACATCTCCAAGATTTGTAGAAAATTGTTTTAAGAAATAAATTCCTCCAGAGCCTCAGAATTCTCAGTTGTTTCACCCCCTTTGCGGTTGCGTGTACATACGCCAGTGTTCGCAGTAACTCAGGATGCTGGGTTATCCTCCCCAAGGTTAGAGCCTTGTATGGACGTCATTAGTAAAGCTGTAAAATGCCTTCTCTTTACCAAAAAGAATCAGCAAAGGGAAATGAATTAAGGTATTTCTGAGACGTTCAGGCTTGAGTACGTAACAAAGGAAGAAAAAGCCTGCAGAATTTGTTTGTTCTACTCCTCAGAACAAAACCATCCCGATGGTTTTAATAACTTTCAGGGGTTCTCTGAATTTTAGCAGGGTTTCAGCTGAGTAGTGATGAACAAATTTTTACACCTAGAATATGGTATAAGTTTGCAGATAGCTAAAAAGAAGTAAACCAGTAAAAAATCGAACAGAAAAATGTTTTGGATGAAAAGGCGCTAGTTTCCTGGCTCAGAGGAGATAAACAGAATGTTTTGTTCTGTAGCTCACCCAGCTGATGCCTCCCGTCAGACAAACAGCTGAGATTCTATGTGGGGCATATAAGTGTTCATCACAGTTCACCATTTTGGATGGATTATTAGGTGTAGGCGCGGTGGATCAGAAAATCTTTTGATTTGACTGGAAACATGGCTTAGCAGTGGATAAAGAAAAACCCTCCACAGAGCATTCTAACTGCACATGAAGATGATAACTGACGTCCTGTTGTTGTAATAATATGCTTTTATTTAAATGTAAAAGAAATTGTTGAGCATATTTACTTACTGGCCAAAGTTTCTAGATGCCCAAGATTCATTAATAGTTTCTCTCTCTTCATTATTTTCTTGCTGTATGGTAACGTGTGAAAACCGAGCACTCAAAGACTTTTGTCCCTGCAGAGCACCTGTTCATTCAGACCTTTTGGCAAACCATGAATCGTGAGTGGAAGGGGATCGACAGGCTGCGCCTGGACAAGTACCACACGGTAAGATCGGAGTGGCGTTTTATCCAAATTCACTTCAAAGGCCCGTGTGGAAAAAAGACTTTTTCAGTGTTTTAGAGACGATAGAAAGGTTCACTTCTGAAGCAGAGCAGGTTCCGTGCAGGAGGAACGGTACGTGCTCACAGGGATACCTCAAGGCTTTCTGTTTTGGTTCCTCGGCTGTTGTAGGAGTGGACTTGGGGGTCATTAAACCAAAAACACCAAACCCAGTGCCATCGAGTCAATTCCAACGGATAGCAATCCTCTAAGGACAGAGTAGAACTGCCGCCTAGGGTTTCCAAGGCTGTAATCTTTATGGAAGCAGACTGCCACATCTTTCTCCCATGGAGCAGCTGGTGGGTTCATACTGCCTACCTCTCAGTTAGCAGCCAAGCGCTTTAACCAGTGTGCCACCAGGGCTCCTGGGAGTCAGTAGTTACCATTATTGCTCTAGAAGTTCCATGTGATTATTGGGGATAGTTTCCCCCTCCTGGGACTCAGACTACACCAGTTGCCTTGTTCTCCTGCTTCCACTAAGCTGCTGTGATTTTTCTTTTCCTTCTGTAACAAAAGTCCTTTATTTACAGCTAATCCGTCTGGTCCTAAGGCAGTCTTTTGAAGTGCTGAAGCGAAATAGCTGGGAGGAACGGTTAGTAAACTTCGCGTTAGCATTTGGTAGCCTTAAAACTTTTAGGGCAACAGAGGGTTTGTCAGTTAATCAGCTAACATTAGTGCCCTGATCTAGGCCCACCACAGTTGAGTGCCGTGAGAAACAAAACCCATCTTTGCCTGTAAGGAACGTGAAACCCAGTAGAGACATCAGGTAGTGAGGTACAGGTAACAGCTGGCATTTTATACTGATTTAGTGATTACTTTTCTTCCTTGGAAAACGTTGTTAGCCTTGCTTTTTTTTTTTTAATATAATTTATTTTTGTTGAGACTGTACGCAGCAGCACATTAAACCGTTTCTGCGTAGACAGTGCAGTGACACTGATTTACATTCTGCGTGCTGGGCAGCCATTCTCACCCTCCTCTTCTGGGTTGTTCACCCCCATTGACATAAACTCACTCGCCCCTACGTTTCCTGTCTGATCTTTCGAGTTGCTGTTGTCAGTTTGATCCCATAGAGATAGACCTTGAAAAAGCATAATGCTTAAGGGCGACTTTTCTAGTTCAGCTAAACTATCGTTGGGTTTTAAGAAGACACTGGGGATATTTTTGGTGCAGGGTTTAAAGATTATCTCAGGGCAGTAGTTGCAGGGGCTCACCCGGCCTCCATGGCGGTTAGCCTTGCACCTGTGACTGTTCCGTGTTCGTTGGTCACGCAGTGCAGGCGCAAGACTGAATGGGACCAGTTTCTCGTGGAGAAGAGAGAAACACTGACGTGCTGAGGCTGACAGCCCGCGTGTGTTTTTTCCTCAGCCAAATTAAGCCGTTTCTAGACGTCTTAATGAAGGAGATCCTGCATCCTGAGAGTCAGTGTCCGAAGGGCGTGAAGTTCCACTTCATTGACATTTACCTGGAGGAGCTGTCCAAGGTGGGAGGGAAAGAGGTGAGAGAACGTGAGACATCCTGCTAGCCGTGCAGCGAGGCCGTTACTGACCTGAACAGGAGTTGGGGTGGCTCTCTGGTGAAGGTCCAGATGGGTTGTTAATAAAATGCTCTTTGTCAGCACTCCGCATGACTGGTGACAGCAGCAGCAGCAATTGATTCGGCCTAGAGTCCCTGGGTGGTGAAATGGTTAATGCACTCAGCTGCTAACCCTAAGTCCACTCCGGGCAACTCAGAAGAAAGGCCTGGCAAGCTACATCTGAAAATTCAGCCATCGAATACCCTACGGAGCAGTTCTGCTCTGACATATGGGGTGGCCGTGAGTTGACAGCACCTAGTATTTGTTTTTTTTTTTTTTTCCTTTTTAATCTTTTGGCCCAGTCATTCCCCTTCTAGGAGTGTGCTAGTAAGACACGTGGACAGAGACCAGTGATGTACATTGTAGTCTTATTTATAAAGCAGGCCTGGAAGCAGCCTGCACAATCCAGTAAAGAATTTGATAGCATGGGGAAATGCTCATGGTGGATTGAGTCTTTTTAAAGCAGTAGGAAAAAAGGCAGTAGGCAAAGTTGTGTAAATGGTATGATCTTCTTTTAAAGTATAGATTCATATGTGAATACACATACAGCTGGAAGGAAAGCATTTATATTATTTTTATCTGAATTTGGGGTTATGATTTACACTTATTTTTTCACAAGTGTTCTGCGGTGAACGTGTATTTTTTTATGTAAAGAGTATAGGTGTTAATATGAGAGAAAGAACTCTTTTGTCTTATACTTCCAGATAATATCCCCATAGAATGTCTCCATAAAGTAAGGCGTATGTGCATTGAAATCATATAATAACGCTGTCTGAACTGGGCAGGCTTCCTTGGGTTACTGTGCTAGGGTAGCTGGGTGTCTGGAAGTGCTGCGAGGTTTTGGAGCAGGGCTCTGAGTGTCTGTGGGTCAGCATGCAGAGGGCATTCTGGACCGTGTGAGAGAGGCGTTACTCAGTCTGATCCCACCTGTGTGGAAGTGCAAACGGTTCCTTTTTCGAGGACGTGCCAGAAAGAATAAAAAGCTTTTTTCTTTTCCCTCACTTTTTCTTTCCCATTTTGTTTCTAAATTACAGCTTCTGGCCGATCAGAATCTCAAGTTTATTGATCCGTTCTGCAAAATTGCTGCCAAGACTAAGGAGTAAGTGCTTCGCATGTGGGTTTTTACTGCCTCGTTTGGTACATAGCTGTGGAAAAGCAACCGTTGTTTTCCATGTGGGGCTTGACGCGAGAGACTGCAGTGGTTATCCAAAGCTAAGCGTGACCACGTTCTTAACTCCACGAGCACAATATCTGAGGCTTTCAGAAAGGAATGGGCTCTTCTGGGTTTGGCCCCAGTGGTTCCGGGAGCCAGGCCCTCACGGTCCTCTTTGGTTCTTGCACACACAGAGCCCTGTCTGCCATCCGCCTGGCCCCGTCAGCAGCTCGCTGTTGGCTTCTGGTGGCCACAGGTGGTGAGCAAGCGCATCGTGCTTGGGGGCACAGCTGCTTGCTCATGTGATGCTCAGTCAGACCAGTGGCCTAATGGGAAGTGCAGTGGCGCTCTCCGCTCCTCTTCCCTCAGCGCTCCTCAAAACACCACAGCCCAGGCCACTTGACTTTTCTTTTTATTTTATTTTTTTGTTATACTTTGAGTGAAAGTTTATAATCCAAGTTAGTCTCTTATACAAAAATTTATACATGTGTTGTTATGTGACCCTAATTGCTCTCCCCATACTGTGACAGCACACTCCTCCTTTCCACCCCTGATTTCCTGTGTCCGTTCAACCAGCTCCTGATCCTCTCTGCCTTCTCAATCAGCTCCTGACCCTCTCTGCCTTCTTGTCTCTCCTCCGGACAGGAGCTGCCCATTTAGTCTCATAAGTATCATTTTATGTCCCATAGTCCAGTCTAATCTTTGTCTGAAGAGTTGGCCTCGGGAATGGTTTTAGTGCTGAGTTGACAAGAGAGTCTGGGGGCCACTCTTTCTTTCTGGGTTCCTCCAGTCTCAGACCATTAAGTCTGGTCTTTTTACTAGAAATTGAGTTCTGCACCACATTTTTCTCCTGCTCCATCAGGGACTCTGTTGTGTTCTCTGTCAGGGCGGTCATTGGTGGTAGCCAGGCACCATCTAGTTCTTCTGGTCTCAGGCTGACGGAGTCTCTGGTTTATGTGGCCCTTTCTGTCTCTTGGGCTACTACTTTCCTTGTGACTTTGGTGTTCTTCATTCTCCCTTGCTCCAGGTGGGTTGGGATCAATTGAAGCATCTTAGATGGCCGCTCACAAGCTTTTAAGACCCCAGACACCGGGCCACTTTTCTTAACCCCCTTCTGTGTGCTGTGCTTCCCTCTTCAGCCACACAGTAGTCCAGACGATCGCGAGGGGTGTTTTTGGAGTCATGGTGGCTCAGTCTCCTTTTGTACCTGAAGAGATGGTGGAGGAGCAGAGAACCAGAGTGGGTGACAGCAAGCTCTCTGAAGAAGAGATCTCTGAGAATGAGATGTCATGGAGAGAAACAATCAGCAGAAAGAAGACAGGTACGAGAATTTCCTTGAAAGGTCATATTTTTCCCGGGTAAAATCCTCGTCAAACGCAGCGATGCTTTTAATACATTTGGTGGGGTGTCACTGAAAACAACCTAGAATTCACAGAAGATGGCTCTGCCTTGGGGCGCTGCCTCCCCCAAGGTGAAAAGCGGAGGAGTAGGGAGACTCCTGTGCCCGTGGCAGGGTCTTCTGGGGGCCTGAGTCGAGTTACACTGTGACCCACACGCTTCTGTGTCTCTCAGGGCCTCGGGGCTTCCCTCCAGGGATTTTGTTGTTGCTATTGCTGTTGGTTTGGGGGGCCGGGGGGTTGGTGTGTTTTAAGTATCCTGATGTGGACTTGAACCTGTACGAGTGCCCTCTAGGGAAGACCTGAGATTGATAGTTACACTCCAAGCGGACACCACCTGCTTCTGTAGCTCTCGGATGATCTCACGACTTCCTTCAGCTCTTTGTCTTTGGGTGTTTAAATATCCACTGGGACTTGCTTGCAACTACAGCCCCTCGAAGCTCTGTCAGCGATTTGCAGCATCTCGGTGCTAGCATCAGTTGTAAGGCTAAGTTAGAGGATACCACACTTCAAAATATCGTACAGCCAGGCTAGAGCAGAGATTTCAAAAACTAACGACCCAGGGAAATTTAATAAAATTGAAGGAAAAAGAAAAAGGCAGGATACAACATTATGTAGGAGGAGCCTGATTTGTTTTAAACATTTGTATGTGTCTAAAAAAGAAGATCTGGAAAAATATATACCAAAATGTTAGTAGTTAGCCCTGGGTGGTAAAATTATGGGTGAATTCTCTTTGTACTTTTCTGAATTTTCCACAATGATCATATGTTAATTTTTAATCAGAAAACACACAAGTCTTTAAAAGAAAAAAGAAATAATTCTGATTTTAGATGCAGTGTAGGTGGCAGAGTCAACGAAATGGCATTGAGCGAATTCTGTGCAGTCCTGGGAGCAGTCTCTGGGCCCCTCCTGCTTGCCACATGTTTGTCGGTCTGAATCAGAGACCTCTCACTGTTTCCCATTTGCAGGTCCAAAGATCTCCCAGTTTCTTCATCAGACGCTTGTTGAGAGCCTGCTAGGGTAGACCCTGCTCCGTCTCCTCCAGGCCAGCCTTGGAGCCACTCCATGAGTGAGCTCACAAGTCACAAGAGCAGCACAGATGGGAGAAAAGTCGGGAGCTCTGACTCACGGATTTTGTCCCCTCCTTCCTCCGCTACTGACACTCTTGGAATTGTTTTTTTAAATGCTAAAAGTCAGGTTCATATAAACTTACTGCATTTCCTGAAGCAGCCACGAGGAGCACAGGTGGCACAGTGGTGAAGCACTCAGTGGCTAACCAAAAGGTTGGCCGCTCAAACTCACCAGCCACTTCATGGGAGAAAGACATGGCAGTCTGTTTCCGGAAAGCTTACAGCCTTGGCAACTCTGTGGGCAATTCTACTCTGTCTTGTAGGGTCTTTGTGAGTTGGAATCAGCTTGATGGCAATGGATTTTTTGTTTGTTTGGAGGTAGTATGTGAAACGTTAGTATTCTGCTTTAATAAGCTTTTACTAAGGTCCCAAACTTTTATCTGAAACCAGGAACAGACTCCTAAATTCGTTCTCCCCCTTGTCACAGTCAAGGACAGTGTGTGCCCTGACTCACTGGCCAAGTCCGTAAACTCTAGCACTTCCCGTTCACCTCCGTGTTGACAGGACGACGTGTGGGGTGGAGGAACCCTGGAGGGGGCCGGGAAGTCTGCGGGTTAGCTCTGAAAGTTGCAGGCCACGAGGGTAGCAGAGGCACGTGTGTGGCTTCTCCAAACCCATCCTCGGTTCCGGGGAATGAACAACCAGAATACCTTTGGGAAATTACAAGTATATTTGTAGATTTTTCCTCTGTCAAGAAAAGCACTTTTTCAGGAAAGACACTTCGTTAGGTAGTGGCTCCTTTGGAGTGGTCCTTGCTGTGTGAAGTCCTTTAATACGAAGAATTTTGTCTTTGGATGTGTTTTGATAGCCCTGGACAAACATCACGCAAACGATGGCATCAGCGGTGACAGCGAGAGAGACAGCGGGGGCGCCTGTGAAGACCCTGAGCCACTGCTCCAGGTCGGTGGTGGTGGTGCTGTTCGTGGGCCGTAGAGTGCTGTGGATTGGCCCAGCCGAGTGGGTAGTGGTGTCAAAGCTAATTCAACCGTAAGCTTGATGCTAAAGTTCCTTTTAATCCCTTCAGTCACTGGAAAATGTCACCTTCCTCCTAATGAGCTCATTTGAGACAAAAAAAGTCAAATATGATGGAATTTGCAAAGTTGTCAGTCCTCAGTTTTAATCCCCAAGATCTGCCCAATTCCATACAACAAAGACAGCTTCAGTGATAGTCTTCAAATAGAAGAAAGTTTGCTGTGCTACCAGATTCAAATTGAAATTTTAGATTAAACTAAAAAAGAAGTACACCCAGATTCTCCCAGAAATGAAGAAAACGTGAACCTTTGAAAGATGCAGCTTACATTTACGGTTACTAGGTATCACACGCGTGAGTTTAGGCTGTTCTGTTGCTGAGTGCTTCCCGGATGCTGGGCTGAAGATTGTCTGTTACGGTGTATATGATCTATAAGTGGCCTAGTCAAGCAGTGATGCTTTGCTACAGATTTATGTTTTATTTTTCTTTTTACATAGTTTGACTATAAGGCTGTTGCTGATCGGCTGCTGGAAATAACCAACAGAAAAAACATCCCTCCCTTCAACAGGAAGTGTCTCTCTAAACTAATCAAAAAGTAAGTGATTGGATAAGAGGGTTTCATCTCATCGTACACATTTGAGTCCAGTCCTTTCATTTATCCCAGGGACTGGTGGCGCAGTGATTAAGAGCTCGGCTGCTAACCGATAGGTCGGCAGTTCGAATCCACCAGCCACTCCTCGAAAACCCTACGGGGCAGTTCTGCTGTGTCCTGTAGGGTCGCCAGGAGTCAGAATGAACTCAATGGCCACAGGTTGGTGGGTTGGTTGGTTAGTAGGATTAGCTCTCACTGGGCTTACCCTTTTTCTTTGTCCTTTAATGTTTTTATTCGTAGCAATGTAACGTATGCAGATAAACTGAAAGGTTTAGTGGAAAGCAGCCACCCCCCAGCCTCGAGTTTCAGTCTTCAAACGCAGCCGCACTCAGCGCTTTTAGCTGCCTCAGCATGACATTTAGAACGGACAGATGGGAAAGTAGCCGTGTAAATGTACCGTCAGGGTGGTGGCTGTTGGTGTGCTGTTGAGATCAGTAAGGATTTAGTTCCTTGACCTCTCTACCCCACCTTCCTACATGGCTGTGTCGAACGTGTGGTGAATTCATAGTCCTTGTTGATGTCATGACCATATTCCCATGACTTTGCCGCAGAGCCCTGTGGCGTGTTGTGCTCTATGGCTGCTAAACACTAAGAGTGATCACCTTGTTTATATGAGCCAGGCCCTGTTCTGAGCATTCGACATACATTAAATCATTTCACGGTGTCCGTAATTTGCACCGTTCTGTAGGTAGGTTAACTGGGGTACAGGGAAAGTAACTAACCTGCCCAAGATCACAACTATTAAAGGGCGGGGCTGGAGCCCTCCGCTCCCCTCCCCACCATGCGCTGCTCTAGAATCCACGCGCTTCACCACCACGCGACTCAGCCTCTGTGTCCTTGGTTTTTGTTCTCATGCACCCAAGGTATGTATGAGCAAAACACTGCTTGGCTTTCTCCACGTGGTAAGTGAGGGAGGAGAACTGAATGTAAGTCTTAAAATAGCAGTCTAAACCATTTCTTCCTTAAGAAGCAGATCGGGGGAAAATGAATTTCCTCAGTTATATCTGGGTGTGTGAGGACAGAGCCTTTCGATCAGCATGTCGCTGATGATCTTGACGATAATTGAGGGCAGTTTCATCTTTCAGTTTCTGCCTTTGCTTTCTTGAATGAAGTCTCTTCTCTCACTTCCCCTCCTGGAAGAAAAGCAAAGGGAATTGACAAACACGCAAAGACTGTGTTAAAAGTTAACGTGTGTGTTTGTGGAGGTCGGATTTCTTTATCAACTTTTTTATCATTTTCTTTTTAAAAAACAGCTTTGTTGACATATAGCTCCCGTAGCACACCCTTCGTCTAGTCATCAGTTGATTTTTTTAACTGTAAACTTTCTTTTAAATGTATTATTTTGATTATGGTAAATACATAGGCAACAAAACATTTGCCGTTTCTAAAGTCTTCACGTGTTCAGTCCAGTGAGTTAAGTATGTTCATCGTGTTGTTTAACCACCGCCGTTAACCGTTCCCACATTTTTCCACGGAAGCTCAGTGTCGCCTGTCGTTACAAACTTTTGTCTGTTTTTCCATTTTTCAGATTCCAAGACCTTTCTGAAGGTAAGGAAAGCAGCAGATTATAATCCGTGGTGTTCTACGTGAGTACGGGCCCCTCGAGGACATTTACACGAATACTGAGAACCAGGATTGAAAGTCGTGTTTTGCAGCCGTCTAGGAAGCAGTGGTGGCCCTTAGATAGGAAGAGGCCATCTGTCACCCCTGCTGAGCCTTAGGCGGGAGCCCCTGAAGTAGCCCCTGAAGTAGTACAGGAGCTTCCCCCTCAGCGTCTCAGGGACCCCCAGCTGAGCCAGACCCGCCTCTGCCTGCAGACAGTCCTCTTGTTTGTGGGTGATGCAGGGTTGGTTTTCACCAGCCTTTCAACATGCTGAATTCGTATTCGTTCAGGAAGGTTCTGACTTGATCCCTTACGAAGAGAAGAGATTTGGTCTCACAGAGTTCCTTGCATTTTGCTGTTTATGACCAGTTATCCCTCCCAAGGGAAGCTGCCGTCTGTAAACCTAGTCATTCCTTTGACCAAGAAAATGATCCGTTGCCACGTACACCCTGCTTTGGCTGTGATGTTTAATCGCTTGCCTCCTCAGTTGAGAAATCCACGAGGCTTTTTATGTCTGTAATTCCTGCGTCAGCTGTCAGGTTTGGGTTGGAGACATAGTGGAGTATAGGAGCAGTGAGGTAGAAATTGGGGTTCAGGATTTGCCTGGGTGAGGGCGCAGGGGCCGAGTCCTGAAGGTCTCAGAAAGCTGACCAGCTGTGCTCTGGTGTCTCGCAGGCAGTGTGTCTCAGCCCGGTTTTGCTGAGGACAATTCTGCTGATGAAGACGACCATGCCGTCGGTCAAGGAAGGAATAAGAACAAAGGAAGTAAGCCTGCAGAGAAAACCCATCTGGGAAAGGAGAAAGGTGAGCTGCAAAGCTGGGAGTGGCAGCGGCCAGGCCTGGCTGTGAGGTCCCGGAGAGCTCTGGAGCCAGGGTCTTCACAGATCAGGTGCAGAGCGGAAAGCTTTAGTTCTTCAGTGGCTGGAAAGGAAAGGTATTTTTCAGATGTGTCTCCATTTTCTGCAGCACCCCCAGTTCAGCCTCCCCAAGCTAAAAGCTTCTTACCCTTAATGATGTCTTTCAAGAAAAAAATGATGAGTAAGTGTGTAGGGACTGCTAGACAGACACGACTCCTTGGAGCAGTGATTTCATTACTACTCTGAATCTGGTTTTTACTGTAAGTTTATATTAGATGAAAGAAACCCTTTTGGCCCTAAAAGTCAGTTGCTATCTAAATATTATTTCCGTTCGGTTTATGCTGAGGTAGGCATGAGGAAGGTTTCCAGTCACGGTGGTGCATGGGAAGAAATGGGACCAGGTGAGAAAACGGGGGGGCTCAAGTGCACCATTCAGGAAGACAAAGCTTTCCTGGTGGTAAAAGGTCATCAGCAAGACCTTACCGTCTCACCTTGGCTTCAGGGTGCTTGTTTATTGGGTTTTGTGTCTTTCTAGGAAGCAAGTTCTTCCGTACGGAGGAGGAGGAAAACGAAGGCAGTACTCAGAAGAAGAGAAGGAAAAAGAAGAAGAACCATCTCCAGCTTGAAAATTTGGGCTCAGGGGACAAAACCACGTCCCCAGACCAGAACGGGAGCGAACCAGAGGAAGGGCAGAGAAAAGACCAGAAGGTTCCAAGCGTGGCTGAGACGGGAGCAGAGGAAGCCACCTCCAGCATTGTGGAGGAGGGTGGCTTGGAGCATCCCCCAGCCATCCCCCCTTGCAACAAAAGGAAACGGCCCAAGAAGAGGAGCCTGAGGGTCCAGGAAGGGGTCCCAGGATTACCAGTGCCACCTTCAGAGGACGTGACTCCAAGCGGCCCCAGCAGTGACTGTGCTCAGGAGCCGGCCGCCCGCAGTACCCCAGCAGGTGGCGTCCAAGTCCTGAAGAGGAAGCGGAAACTCGGAGCCCTCCCGGTCAATGGCAGCAGCCTGTCTGTGCTGGCCTGGCCTCTGCTGGGGAAGCAGAGCCCTCAGACCAGCCCGGGGGAGGGAGAAGATGGCCACCCTGCCCTGCCCCAGGGCATGAGACTGAAGAAGAAGAAAGTGGTGCCCAGCAGCCTTGACCTCTGTAACCTCTATGACCCATCCAACCCAAAGACCACCATCTTGAAAAAGAGGAAGAAGGTGAAGGAGATGCTGCACTCGGTGGAGCACAATGGAGTGTTGGAGGCCAAGGCCAAGCAGGTCCCTGTGCTGGTAAGGGGAGCCCGAGGCAGGGGGTGTCTAAGCTCTGGCCGGGTCTCACCCTGGGTTTGGCTCTGTTTGCACTCCCTGTGTGCGTGTGACGGGGGTGGCTCTGTTAGGTGACCTCTCTCCTCACCCCTTGCTCAATAGGGAAATGGCGGCACATTCAGCCCCTTGAAGAAGAAGCTGAGGGCGGAAAACGACTTCGTGAAGTTTGACACCTCGTTCTTACCAAAGCCCTCGTTCTTCAGGAAAGCTAAAAGCACCGCTTGCGCCTCCTTTCTGAGCCCCACCGTCCAGGTACGTCCCAGCTCAGTGGCGTCTGCAAACCTAGGTGGCACACTGGAGCCTGCCCCTGCTCCGCCTCACAGGGCGTGCCCAGGGACCGAGCAAGTGGGGCCTAGGTGCTGGTCTGGGCGTCACCAATTCTTCTAAACCACTGCACTCTTGGCAGACCCCGAGGCCTCTGGGTCCTGTTCAGGGGTCAGGTCCCCTGTGCCGGGCCACACTAGCGTTGCTGGAGATGCAGGCTGGCTCTGGGGCCCCCTTCTCAGCCGTGCAGTCTGGTCGAGACTGTTTCTGGGTAGTCTGGTGCTGCCCCTGTAGGATCCACAGTGAATGGGCTGTGGAGGTGCAGATTCCTGACAGGGATGCTGTGGGAAGAGGTGAAATCTCTCTTTCTGGAGAAAACTTAGAGAAGAGAGAGGGGGGCCCTGGAGAGCCCTGTCTGCATGGATTGGGAGAGGAGGAGGTGCCGCCGAGGAGACGTGGCAGGGCGGCAGAGCCATGGGAGGGGTGCACTTGTCTCCAGAGGCCCAGTCAAAACGTAACCCTCTGGGACGAAGCGTGTAGGAGTGATTAAAGCATATCCTGACAGTTTTTCAGTGAGGAACGTTTCCTGTTCTTCAAGGGCTTCAGACACCATGAGTGTGCTGTGTTCTCACTGGGAGCACGGGTAGAGAACCATGAGGTTGGTGACGAAGCGGGTGGCTGCACGGTGACAGCCCTTGTCCCACCAGGCTCACAGGGTCGCTGTGGGCTCCCGCGTGCCTGGGAAAGCGCTTGGTGCTGAGGGACCTGTGGAGGCGGGATCAGCATCCGGCTGTGGCAACAGTGGGCCCGTTGGCACTTGCACTGAGCGTGTGGTTAGTAGACAAGTACTGGACGCGGCGCTCTTTGCGGGGTAACAGGTATCCTGTGTGTTCTCCGGGGAGAATCTAAGTCAGACAGCGCGGCCACAGAGCGAGCCATCAGAGCCACCTCTGTTATATCCGTATCACCCCTGTTGTTTTCTTCTGCAGTTAAACAAAACCCCGTCCAGCTCCAAGAAGGTCACCTTCGGGCTGAACAGAAACACGACTGCGGGTGAGTGTGGGGTTTGCATTAGGAGGTGTTCCATCGGGAGCACAGGCTCTTCTCATGGCAGAGGGTCTCGGAGGCCCCTGGAGGGCAGGCACCACCCACCAGGCAGGCAGCTGTGGAGTTCTGGGTGTCTGAGGCCACAGAGCTCCGAGCCCCTGCTGGCTCCTGAGTCAGAAGTGAGCTCTCAGTGGGGGTCCGGGTGGGTGAGGAGTGTCTGGGGATCTCTTGAGGGAGCTGGTAAAGGTGATGTGAGAAGCCATCTTCCCAGACTACTTCAGGCCATCTCACTGAGAGGCTGGCTGGGATGGTAACGGTCTGTCAGGTGTAGCTGTCTCTTGGCTCAGAGCAACTACCTGCTGCCTGAGGGAAGAAGAGGGATTAAAGCGTGTGGCGAACTTTTGAGACCTGGCTGCTTTTAGGGACCACAAGTAAATGGGTGGGTGTGTGCGTGCGTGCGTGCGTGCGTGCGTGCGTGCGTGCGTGTGTGTGTGCAGAGGTACTATCTGGCAAGGACCTGATACGCTCAGCCCCACCCTGGGCCAGTGAGGCCTGGTCTTTATAGCTGGACAAGATCGGGGAGACAGACCCCCTGAGGAAAGACTTCTCCTGCAGCCTCTTTATTCTGGGGTTTACTGATTGTCCGTGTTCCTTAAATGCTTCCCCCTCACAGTTTGTCCTTTCAGGACGGGCCCCCACTGAGGACTCCCCACAGAATCTGTTAGGGAGGAGCCTTGAGACCTTTTAGGCCCTCAGGGCCAATTCCTTTGGGGGAGTAACTGGTTCCTGTGGGGTGGCCCCCCACTTGCATTTCCCGAAGTGCTCAGGAGTGAGCGGGAGTGGTGACGGGTCACTGCCATGGGAGAACCAGCCCTGGGGGACACACTGGGCAGGCTGGACGGAGAGGTCATCCGGTTAACGTGGGGCCTTGTTTCCCTCTGGGGCAGAATTCAAGAAGACAGACAAGAGTATCTTGGTGAGTCCCACAGGCCCATCCCGAGTGGCCTTCAACCCTGAGCAGAGGCCCCTCCATGGGGTGCTGAAGACCCCCACGAGCTCTCCCTCCAACACTCCCCTGGCACCCAAGAAGGTGCTGGCCACCCCTCCAAAGAGAAGACCCACCGCCATGGATTTCTTCTGATGGAACAGCAGGACTTCTTTTTCAAGACTGCTTTTGTACAGAATATGCTGTAAGTTATAACTTTTAAAATGTGGGTCCTTTTTTTATTGTTTTATAACTTCCCGTAAACTGTACACGGAAGGGCCTGACTGTGAGCTGGCACCCGCCATTGCTCCACCCTGCCCCCGGGGCGGGGAAGGGCCGGGTCGAATCTCTGCCACCAGCACTGAGCTCGCCAGCGTTCCACTGCGTGGGCACCTCCAGCGGTTACCGTGGCTGCGGTTACCATGGCTGCGGTTACCGTGACTGCTGCCTGTGAATGGAGTTGAGGAGAGCACAGGCCCATAACTGTCAATAAACTGATGCTGTTAGCACAATTCAAGTATGGAATGTCATTTCCTGCCCAGCTCTCCCTGTGTGGGGAACTTCGGCCCTCCTTTCCATGTTCCCCGAGCCAGCCGGTTTTCTGGCTGTATTTAGTCTGTCTGACAATGCTGCTTTTTAAAAAGCACGGAGGGCTTTGTTCGTGCTCAGTGGGCATCTGCCAGTTGACCGATTGGGAGGATTCTTCTTAGTGAATCAGCAATACCGTAGTTTTTACTTGTGATCAGCTGGGGGTCATGTGGGGGAGCCTCAGTCTTCAGGCTGTGTGTCCTCCTCCCCCTCTGCTGTGCGTCCCTCCCTGCTTTCCTACCTCTACGGCACGCCCAGTGTCTTCACTGGGAGGGCCAGCGCCCCCCTCGGCTCCACAAGGACCATGCGTCCTGGGCGCCGAGCCCCTCTGCTGAGGTTTGCAGTGGTCTTGCACCGAGCTCACTCGTTCTTCAAGGAGGGTGTCCACTTTCTCCTTGATATGTAAGCAGCTGAACCGAGGGCCTGAAAGACCCGCATCCCCGAAAGTCTCTTTCCTGTCTTAGGTTAAAACGAAGCCCTCTTGAGACATGCAACAGCATCTGAAAACCTGCCTTCCTCTGAAACGCAGAAAGTTGGCAGCCTGTAAGAATTTTCTGTGCATATTGACTTTCTATCCTCAAAGTTTTATGTCAGTACTTATGTGTTTATAGCTACTACCTTTTAGCTAAAATACCGAGGCTTGCACTAACGGATTTTTATCAGGTTTTTCTACTTTCAGTTAATAACAAGAATCAGGGCTGGGAAGGTGCTCGGACCCTGGTTGGTGAAATGGAAAGGTAATTTAGAGCAGCACTTACTGGAGAATGTGTCCGTTTAAGGAAATGGTCTGTACCCTGGGCCAAAGACATCAGTAAGAGGCAGGTTCCAAACCCAGCTCGGGTCACTAAGGGAAGTCCCTGAGGCCCAAGGCTCGCTGTTTCTCAGCAGCTTGCGCGATAAAAAATGCTCGATGTAAATCTGGGCCCAGGGCACAAATGCTCCCTGCTTTCCCAGCCAGCTCTCCGCTCAGGGATCTGGAAATTCAAGCTGCCTCCCCACCCTCCCCACAACAGGCCAAACCCAGGCCAGTCCCCTCCCCATTGCCACTCCCCCGGTGGTCCACAGGGGCCCTGAGCAGTACCTCAGCGGTGGACGACAGGGAGCCCTGTTGAGTGGTAGGGCCTCATTGATTGACTTCATCAGGGGTAGGGCTTCACCGATGAATACTGACCAACTGGCCGGCACCGTGGTGGAGAGCTACGGCTCCTAACCAAAAGGTCGGCAGTTCAAATCCGCCAGCCGCTCCTCGGAAACCCTATGGGGTAGTTCTGCTCTGCCCTGTAGGGTCGCTAGGAGTCAGAATCGACTCAACGGCAGTGAGTTAGCTGGTGTCCGGTGGGTTGACTTCCTGACAGAGACAGGGTAAGACGAAGAAGTGTTCGCTCTGGTCTTTGCCTGAGAGAGAAGCAGTGGCCACCGTGCTGTTGAATGTCGATTGTGAGGAGACGGCTCCTGTACAGCCTAACCTCGAGGTGGTGGCTGTGTGGTTTTCAGGGTGCTGCATTTGGTGCGACCCTTAAGTCATGTTCAAAACCAAAGCTGATGTACTGAAAAGATTAGATTTGAGTCCTTGAAAACATTTCTAACTTTGTGTTTTGAAGAAATGTTTCCTTATCCTTAGTCCAATTATTTTTCTAATGATTTTTATTTCAGCTTTAAAGATGGATCATGTAGTCAAATGTGCTGTATAACCCAACAATGTTAAGATTAGCAAGACATTCTAGGGTAAAAATGGTACGTTTGTTCTCTGGACTGTTAGGAGCTTCTCTGCATAGCATTTCTGTATCATTTGTCTTCTCTGAGGTACCAGTGGAATGTCCTATGAATACACACCTCCTAGCAAAATTGTGCCTGTGAATTTTTATCAAGGATGACCGTGTCTTCGATTCTATTTGTCCTTCTCTATGTCTTAACTCCATTTTGTGGGTGAGTTGAATAGATTTTCTGTGACTTATTTTATCAATGCCTGAATTTTGGCAACAGAGGAAGAAAAGCATTTTTCTTTTTTTCGTTCTGATTACACACGCGATGAGAAATAGGGCGCGTAAAGAAAACGTACTTAGAGTACCAGTTTTCCTGTTTGTTGTTGCATGGTATTCTCCCGGTAAAATTGCCAAGGGTACATAAAAGTCAAAAAAAAAGAAATAAGTTCATGCTGGTGATCTGAAATCATAGTGTTTTGTAACATGATAACCTCCCCTACCCGAATAGGTCTGCTCAATTTTGTACGGTCTGGCATCAGACTTTACCAATTTCTTATCCTTTTCAACTTTTACTACACTTAAAGCACAAAGAGAAGTATGAAGAAAATCCAGAAGCTGTTGTTAGTGTTGGAAAGAATAGCAAACCGAGTCCGTCTTTGTACTTTTATCCGAGTTTTCTCTGAACTTCGCTGACCACGGACCGGGACTGTTCTCAATCGGTTTGTGCCGGCATCTGCACTGGTTGTCAGTGCTTGTCAAAGCCAAGTCCACTAAAAACAAATCTGTCTTTGCCGTCGGACCATCCGTGTGCATAAAAACTCACCTCTGGGGACTCTGAAGATGCAGCAGGGTCGAGGAGGTGTGGCATTTGTCATACTGTCTGAAGCAAGATCCCTCAGCTGCCCGTCCTTCTGTCTGGTGTCTGCTCCCCGCGCCTCCCCTGGTTGAAGCAGTCGTGAGATGGCACACGTACCCAGTGCCACGTCTGAAGCGCCCGCTCTGCAGGCCTGTGGGCACCCCCAGCTCCCTCCCAGAAAGCAGCCTCAGCTCGCGCATTAAGGGCACAGTCGGGCAGCACCCACCAGTCTGCCACCAGTCAGGCGGTTTGTTCGCCTAGTGGGTGTCAGTGGTGAGTGTGCTCATTGTTGGTCAGACACAGTCCAGGCATTGTGCCATCTACAGGCTCAGAGGCATGTGTTCCCTGAGGAAGCTTTGTCTTCAGTTGTGATTTGAGTCCCCAACAAGTCCACAGAGGGTCACCTAACCCATAAAATGACAAACACAGGTGGGAGGACCTACGCCCCGTCCATGTCCTGCCCTTGCCCCAGGTCTCAACGGTAGGACCATATAGTGCTCCATTACACGGATGTACCATGATTTATCCAGGGACATTCAAACGGCCAGTCCTGGGCTGTTGTAAATAGAACCCAGGTGTCAACTGTGAGCTTTCCATTGTCTACCTTGTAGTTCAGAATACTCCCCCATGGTGAATGCACATCCCAGGAAGGTTTATGTTCTCACGGATGTCCCAGGCATTCTTGCCGCTGCTGAACTCGTGCTCTTTATTCCTTCTCCACTCGCACTGGGGCACAGAGCGCCCTCCTTTGTCCACCTTCTTCTAAGATACTACAAACGTCAGGAGGCGAACCTTGTTCCCAAGATTTGGGGAGGGTCTTCGTCATCTACTGCTGCTATAACAGAAATACCACAAGCGGATGGCTTTAACAAAGAGGTTTATTCTCTCACAGTCCAGTAGGCTCCAAGTCCAAATTCAAGGCTTTGGAGGAAGGTCTGTGCCATCGATCTTCCCTTGGTCTGGGAGCATCTCAGCGCAGGAACCTCAGGTCCAAAGGACGTGCTCTGCTCCCAGCACTGCTTTCTTGGTGGAATCAGGTTCTCAGGTGTCTCTGCTCGCTTCTTTCCTTTATACCTCAAAAGGGATTGGTTCAAGACACTTACCTAGTAGACCTCATCAATATAACTGCTGCTAATCCATCTTATTACATCATGGTGATAGAGTTTACAACACATAAGGAAATCACATCACAAAATGGCGCACAGTCATACAATACTGGGAATCATGACCCAGCCAAGTGGACAGATATTTTGGGGGGACACAGTTCAATCCATGACAGGGAGTCGTGGTAGGGGTTACACCGCTCAGCCACCACAAATCTAAAATCACACGACGCGTGTCATTTCTCAGAATAAACCATGGAATTTCCCCCACATGTTCCCATGCCTACAGCTGTGAGCCTTCCGCCATCTACTGGCTCCCCTGCTCCGGGGCGCGCTCCTCCGTGGTGGCCCCTCCATTCCACATTCTCATCTCACTGGACGTACCACTCAGCTCTCCCTCACCCCTGATGACACGCTCAGCCCTGGCTCTGCCCTTCTGCATATGAACTCACAAAAGTCCTGGCAGAAAACAGCTCTGCGTGTGACGGGAACCACCTGCCTTTGGGTTGTAAAATGGCCATTTTCCCCTCCACGCGCTGACAGTGAATTCTCTACACAAATCATTCAGCAAGTGCCTCCTGAGCACCTACTGTGTGCTGGGTACCGCTGGAGGTGCTGGAGAGGCAGCAGTCAACACAGACACAGATCCCCCATTTGCTGGGTTGTCTCCCCATTATCAATGATGTCTCTGAAGCACAAAAGTTTCTAACTTTGATGAAGTCCACAATTTTTTGTTTGCTTGTGCTTTTGGTATCATATCTGAGAAACCACTGCTTCATCCAAGATCACAAAGGTTTATGCCGGTGTTTCTTCGAAGTTTTATAGTTTTGCTTTTACATTTTCCTTTTGGCATTTACCGTGGTGCCCAGATGCACCGTAGCTACGCACTCTTATCTCACTGTCATGGATTGAATTATGCCCCCCAAAAAAATGTGTGTATGTTTGGCTGGGCCGTGATTCCCGATATTGTGTGATTTTCCTGTATGTGTAAATCCTGCCTCTATGATGTTAATGAGGGAGGATGGGTGGCAGTTTTGTTAGTAAGGTAGGACTCAGTGTACAAGATTAGATTGTGTCATGAGGCAGTCTCTTCAGATATAAAAGAGAGAAGTGAGCAGAAAGACGGGGACCTCATACCACCAAGAAAGCAGTGCCAGGAGCAGAGCGTGTCCTTTGGACCCGGGTCCCCGCCCAGAGAAGCTCCTAGTCCAGGGGAACACTGATGAGAAGGCCGACAGAGAGAGAAAGCCTTCCCCTGGAGCTGATGTCCTGAATTTGGACTTTTAGCCTACTTTACTGTAAGGAAGTAAACTTCTCTTTGTTAATACCATCCACTTGTGGTATTTCTGTTGTAGCAGCACTAGATGACGCAGACACCCCCCATCCTCCCCACCTCCGCCAAGCACTGACTCCCACAATGTGGTGCTGGACCAGCCGCAGGGCATGCCCTAGGAGCTGGTTGGAAATGCAGAATCTCAGACTCACTGAAGCAGGACCTGCATTTCACTAGTCTCCCCAGGGGATTCTCTCTCTCTCTCCCTCTCTCCCTCTCTCTCTCTCTCTCTCTCTGTCTCTCTCTCTCTCTGTCTCTCTCTCTCTCACACACACACACACACACACACACACACACACACACGAGAAGTGCTAAATGGCTAAGGGTTTAATGCCATTTTATGAGCCGTGAACATAAACTGGCCCTCAGTAAATATTTGTTGAACTAAATTGAATCCAGTTGGAAAACCACAAAGCCAAAGTGGTTTTCTCTTGCTGCGTATCAGC